AAAGTGAATTTACTGTGTAAATCTTCACCCAAATCCTAATTCAAAAAAAAAAAAAAAAGATACATGGTTAGAGATATTTGAATATCAAAATGCAGGATTACCTCTTATCAAGATAGCCCCCTTTACCAGCCAAAGCTATGGCTCTATGGTGATTTGCCAACATTAGAAGATTTCATACCAAGTCATCTGCATGCCCAGCATTATCTTCACACGGCTGAGAAAGGAATCATATTCCAGTTTCTTAAAGGAAGCCTAGTTCTTAAATTTATACACTGAGAAAATATGTTTCCCAAGGTCATGAGTAAATAAATGTACGTGGGAACTTTCTTTTCTGTTCTCCATCTTCCCCCGCAAAAAAACTTTGCATTCCTTAATATTATATTATAGCAAGTGGTTTATATCTTTAAAACGTAAGAGCTAAGCTTTTTTTGGTTCAATAAAATTTGTGGCTAATAAATAGCTAATGGATTATGGATGGGTCTATTTGTTATATTATTGGTGTAACAATAATTTATAGCTCTGAGTTTTCATTCATTCATTTATTCATTCATTAGTTGCTGGCCTCTGCTGCAGGCTGGGCAGTAATATGGTGTCAGACTGGGAGTCCATAACATAAGTACAATGTGCTCAGTATGACCATAAAATAGAGACGACAGAGAAGAGGACAGCCAGCAGTGCCTTCTGGAGGGGCTCAGAGAAGGCTTGAAGCAGGTGAGTACTAAGGGCCACCACACCTGCCCAATAAAACTAAACACAGGGATGGTTAAAATTTGGGACTACTCTAGTTATAGGCCCTTTTTTTCTTAAAAAACAAGTTCTGCAGGTTTATAATGGGTATGTTGACTCTGCATGACAATATTCTAGGATTATTTTCAACAGGGGTTACATGTCTAGGGACTCAAGCTTTGTGTGCTATCAGCAGGATCCCCAAAAATGGGCCTTTTAGGTGTGGCAGATCCTGAAACACAATCTGATAAGGGAACATTTGGTGAGGCACTTCCCAGGCAGTAGTACAAGTGACGCCAGCAAATGTCACTAAAGAGTCTGGTTCTGACAGAGCAATATATTAGTGGTTGTTAGCTTTCAACATAGTACTTAAATATTTTCCAATAAATTTGTTGACTGTTGTTACAAAAAAAAAAAAAAAAAAAAGGCAATATATTGGGACAATTTTCTGACAGAAGGAAATAAAGTATCTTGAGAGTTTGTCTTTTTCTAATTCATACTTATGGTCTCCTGGCTGCCCTGTTTTTGTCCATCCTATTACCCTTACATCTGCCAGGAGACAGAGAGGAAATGGGTCCCCTCAGGAGGTGGTTTCCTCCATCACTAGCACACTTATCCTTCAGAGTTTTCCCATATTCCTTCCCTAGAACAAATGTGAACACCCCTAGAGGATCAGAGGTGAAGAAGAGAAGAGTAGTGGCAACGTGTACACCAATGTTCACTGCAGCACTTTTCAAAATGGCCAAAAGGTGGAAACAATCGAAATGTCCATCCACAGATGAATGGATAAACAGAATGTTGTACATACATACAATGGAATATTACTCAGACATAAAGAGAGATGAAGTCCTGATGCATGCTACAACATGGCTGAACCCTAAACACATTATGCAAAATAAATCTATTGTAAAAGGACAAATACTGCATGATCTCACTTACATGAAACAAGCAAATGTATAGAAACAAAGCTTCTTAGTGGTTACCAGGGATGGTAGGAAGGGGGAAAAGGGGAGATTTTACTTGGGGGCAGTGAGTTTATGTTTTAAAAAGGAAGAAGAGGGTAATGGCAGGTGAGACATGCGCTAGATGCTATTTCTTATATCACTTGCTCCCAGGGTCCTCTTTCACAGTAAGAGAGGCAAAGTGCACTTTGGAATTACCCATTGATTCGTTTATCCTTGACTTTATTGGGATTCATATTATAAATCAAAAAATAAGGGAGGCCTGGCTCCAATCATCTTTTTCAGCTCTATGGGAGCTCTGGTAGCATAGTGGCTAAGACACTTGCCTGCTAACCAGACGGCTGGAGGTTCAAACCCACCAGCCACTCCTCGGAAGGAAGGTTGGGCAATCCTACTTCCGTAGTGATACTGCCTCGGAAACCCAAGGAGGGGTCGCTATGAGTCGGGTTTGACTCGACGGCACGTAACAACAACAACAACAATACTTTCCTTGAGAAGTGCCATGTACCAAGGGAATTTCATTTTAAAAGCAACTATTAGGGGAACTAGGAGCTCTGGTGGCACAGTGTAACTAACTTTTCAGCTGCTGACGATAAGGTTGGTGGTTTGAGCCCACCAGCCACTCCATGGAGAAAGATGAGGCAGTTTGCTTCCATAAAGCTTTATAACCTTGGAAACCCTATGGAGCAGTTCTACTCTGTCCTATAACAAACAAACAAACAAACAAACAGTGCCATCAAGTGAATCATAGTGACCCCCATTAGGTTTCCAAGCCTGTAAATCTTTATGGAAATAGATTGCCTGATCTTTCTCTCACGGAGTGGCTGGTGGGTTTGAACAGCTGATCCTCTGGTTAGCAGCCAAGTGTCTTACACATTGTACTACCAGAGATCCTATTCTGTCCTATTTGGTTGCTGTAAGTCAGAATCAACTCAGTGGGAGTAGGTTTAGCTTTTGGTTTTGGTTCCAGGAAAAGGTAATTTAAACAGAAAGAAAAGAAATGAAAATTTTAATTCAATGAAATCAAAATTTTGGGGAGAGGTTGTTATTTATATTTTAACAGTTTCGTAAAAATGAAAAGCAATAGAAGTCAAATTATAAATAAAAGAAAGTCACCTCTACTCCACATTATCTGGAAAAATCCCTATACTAGGTAGTAACTGAAGTGACTCTTTTACCTTGTAATTATTCATGACTTCAGTTAACCACGGCTTAACTGACTTCACTGTATCTTCTCGCAAGTACTTTGCAACCTCAGTCCCATCGTTAAAAGTCCGGTTCCCCACATGGAGTAATTGTCTCACTTCTGGGAGTGACAAAAATTTCCCATAGTAAGTCTGGTCTTCAGGTTCCTGAAAGAAGAGGGCATTAGAACGACATTAGGGAACAGCATGCTGGGTCAAGGGAAAAGCTATGAATTATTCATAACATAAAAGATGTGGCATGACTATAAACTTGTGACATAATGAATAACTCCCTGCCCTTGAAATATTTAACTTGGAGGATTTTGAGGTAATTTAACAACAAATCTGGATAAGCTCCCTACTCTCACAGCCAGGATCCAATTTGAAAATGCTGAATTTTTCTTTTCAGAAACAAAGCTTTTGCAACCTCTGACTCAAATTAGTAACCCCATTAGATGCAAAGACGAGGAAAAGGAAAGATGTGAGATGGTCACAATCACTTTGCTCCTTGTCACTAGGTCTATGGAAGGAAGGTCCATGAACCCAACAGGACCCCAATAGGACCAGGTGATGGTGTTGTGTTTCAAAGCTGAGGATCCTTTTCTCTCAATATTCTGCTGTTTATTAAAACTACACAAAAAGTATCAGCTGATTATAATCTAAGGAGTAAAATATACCAAACACAAAAACAGATGATACTTTATAAAGAACAGAAGGCACAAGTAAAGTTGTGCGTAAGACTGATTAAAAAAAAAAAAAAAGCCAGAAAACCAACAACACTTCATAAGTTTCTATAATAATCATTATACCAAAAGGAAAAAAAAAAAAGTAAACCTTATTTTGTCAGGGTTTGAGTTCAGCAGTTTTGTACCTCATGGCCAACTTTTGCTAACTCTGAATACATTACTTTGTAAAGAAATAAATATCAGAAACTGTTTCTTTCTCGCCTGCAGTATGTCTTTGGCTGAGTTTAACTTAATTTGAAAGCCAGAAGATTGGGGAACTCCATTGAAATTAGATTTATGTTTTATTTTTAAAGTAGTTCATACATAAGACAATTTTTTTAAAAAACAGAATGTACTGTCATGTATGCTAGATCAAGGTAATATAAATCCAAACCATTACTTTGGCTCCCTTTCTCTTATTGGATTAATTCTACACAAAAGACATTGACTTTGGCCTACTTTTATGAAAGAAGCTACTTGAATACTTTTAGAAATATTCTAGAAGTTTGAAGTGAGGGCCATACAAAATACACTAAACATCTTAAGTTAAAACTAAGATAAAGCAAATGTTTTCATAAAGGCTTTGGCAGTTTTGATTTAAGCTTTCTTAAGCACAGAACAAAGAATGTGGGCATTTTCAAGAAACTCACTACAAGCTTGGAATTTTGGGCCTAAATACACAAAACTCTAATCCCAGACTGTATTCCTCACAAAAGAGTCTCCACCAGGGAAAAATATGTTAGTAGGATATTGTTTTGAGTTATCTGCAATATCACATACTCCTGATAGTCACATAATAATGTATACAGTATTAGTGAGAAAAAAATCCTATAGGCTAGTAGACCAAATAATACAATACAGTTTGGACATATTTATCTAGTGAAAAGTCAGCTATAATATTTCCCAAACTGAAGGAAGTTCAGTATGACAAAAGATTTAAGCAAGCATTATTATAGTTTAAAAAAGTAATAATTACCGTGCATTGTAAAAAGTTAAAATAATTACTACATCCTGTAATGTTCTCAAAGTAAGAAGGTTCATTTGTTAAGTCACCATCTAGTAGTCTATCCAATATCTAGGTAGGGAGAGAGAGGAGAAAGAGAGAAGGAAAATAGTTAGAGTGGATAAAAATGCATAGGCATTTTGCCATTTAATATTTACTAACTTTCTCATTCTTTCATTCAACAATTATCTTTGTACACATTCTTTTTGTTGGCACTGTCCTAGGCACTGGGAATTAGAGTAACAAAACAGAACAAAAGTTCTCCCGCTTGGAGTTTATATTTGCCAAAGAAGCAGGGAGGCCACATCTTCTGACCTCCTCTAACCCCACAAAAGGAAGACAGAATAACCATCAGTAGCCCAAGGCCTATCCCTGCCAGGCCAGAGATGCTGCCTCCCTCCAACCCTAACACCAACCGTTCCTCCCTCAGCACCCACCACCTCTCTGCTGGGTTTGATAATTTGCTGCAGTGGCCACAAAGAACTCACAGATTATGGGCTTTATTAGGGAAGCACCAGGCTACAATTCAAGTTCAGGAAAAACGCTCAGTCTCTCTCAGCCTGTCATCTCTCAGCCAACAGAAGTCTCTCCCAGCAATGTATGTCTCTCGGTGTCTCTTTCTCAGCAGTGCATTTCTCTCAGCAGCACACCTTTCTCAGCCAGCAGTCAGAGAGACTCCTTCTGCCTCTAGGAGGGCTCCTTTTGAGCCTGGCAGAGTGGCCAAACTAACAAATCATAACATCAGAATTCTAAGCACCTGAGAGAGAGTGAACTTCCCAGAACATTGCTCTGTGCCACTCTCAACAGAAATACTCCAGGTGGATAATTTTAACAATCAGGAGCTCCTGAGTTCCTCACAGCAAATTCCACCACAGAGTTTACAAAGACTTATGGCTAGAAAAGCCATACCAGGTAATTTACTACACTGCAATATTCTAGAAAAAGACAATAAAAAATCTAAGTGGGTGAAAGGGGTAGAATGCCAGAGAGTGATCAATGCTAAGGAGAAAAATAAAAAGAGAAGGGGCATAGGAAATGGCAGAGATATGTGTGTGCTCAGATGTATGAGACATTATAAAGAGGAGGCCAAGGAAGCTCTCTCTTAGAAGATGGAATTTGAATAAAGATCTGTTGAAAGGGAGGGAGGGAAACATAAAGAGGTCTGGGGAAAGAATATTCCAGGCACAGGAAACAGCAACCCAAAGGCCCTGACTGTGGGAACGGGTTCTGTGGGAAAGAATTGCCTTTACATGGATGTGGACTGCTAATCACCAGTACCAAGAGTGACAGCTGAGTATATAGACATAGATGCAGGAGGCTAAATTTGGTGGAAGTTACCTTTGGACTATTGTTGTTGTTATGTGCTGTTAAGTCATCTCCAACTCATAGTGACCTTATGTACAACAGAACAAAACTCTGCCTGGTCTTGTGCCAACCTCACAATCCCTACTATACCTGAGCCCATCACTGCAGCCACTGTGTCAATCCACCTTGTTGAGGGCCTTTCCCCCTCTTCTGTTGATCCTCCACTTTACCAAGCATGACATCCTTCTCCAGAGAACACTCCCTTCTGACAACATGACCAAAGTAAGTGAGATGAAGTCTGGCCATTCTTGCTTCCAAGGAGCATTCCAACTGCACTTCTTCCAGGACAGTCCTTTTAGCAGTCCATAGTACTTTCAACATTCTTCACCAACACCACAACTCATTGTCCAGCTCTCACATGCATATAAGGTGATTGAAAATACTTGGGTTTGGCTCATCTTAGTCTTCAAGGAGATGTCTTTGCTGTTCAGCACTTGAAAGAGGTCTTTTGCAACAGACTTGCCCAATGCAGTATGTCTTTTGATGTCCTGACTGCTGCTCCATTGGTGTTGATTATAGAACAAGTAACATGAAGTCTTTGACAACTTCAATCTTTTCTCCATCTATCATGATGCTGCTTATTGGTCCAGTTGTGAGGATTTTTGTTTTCTTTATATTGAAGTATAATCCCTACTGCAGAGTGTAGTCTAATTCATCCATGCCAAGGGACAGGCTATAGACTTGTAGTAGTTCCAAATACACAGGGCATTTTTGGAGCTCATCTTTGGACTACTGACATAAAAACACAGGTGTCAGCTGAGGATGAGAGAAGTCAGCATGAGTGTGCCCTTCCCTCCAGTCACTTTGAACTGCATGGGTGCAGGCATGGAGTGTGTAGAGAATTGTATTTAACCAACTTTGGTTGTGGTTTAGCCAAAGGAATTTGAGGAAGTACAAAAAGGGCATGGAGGTTGGGGATGTATTTTGTGTGTGTATGGGTGTGTGTGTGTGTGTGTGTGATATGTGTTTGGGACAGATGAGGGTATAAGAGGTGGTCTCTAAGCCCATCTAGCTCTGAGTTACTGGTCTTTGATTAACTAAATTATTTTAGGAATCAGAGCACCAAACAGGCATTTATTACTTAGGCATGGAATTTTAGCATTTATATTCTCCTGGGTTTCAGGATTTCTTGACTGACCTCGAGTTTAAGTTGGGTGACTAAATACATTAGGACTTGAGGGGGTTAGGGCTAATGAAGAGGCAGTAGAATCAATGAATTGAAAGGTTATGGGGTTGAAAGATGGTTAGAGTTTGTGTATTAGGAGAAGTGAACTGAAATAATGGGAAGGTGGCAGTTGGAGAAAGAGATGTTTGAATTTGAGATTGTGGAGTGACTTCTTGTTTTTCTGGAATGGGAATGAG